GTGCGCTCGAGTCCAGATGGCAAGCTCCGATGGGCCCGGGTTTGGCTCCTTGGTGACCTTGTACTTTATGCTTTGGTAGGTTTGGGGTTGTGGAGTGTGACCCGGCCTCTGTCCTCCAAGGGAACGCACATTGGGTTTGGAGGTTGGTGCTGCGATGGTTGGGGGTAGGGAGCCTAGTGTGCGCCCACGTGTTAGGGCGGAGCTGTAGGGATGGACACCTATCTCCTATGTGGATTTTCTTCCCAACTCTTCATTCAACAGTTTGTACTATATGCCAGGCAGGGGTGGGGAACAAGAGCAGGTCGTTGCCTTACACAGCTTCCATTTTGCTTGACTTTTTGGTAGTTTTCAGTTGTCAGGATTCAGCTTGCTTTGGTCGTTTCCCTGGATAATTGGGAAACTTCCCAGAAGGTGCTATTAAAATAATAGCTAGAGGTTCTGTGGTTTTCTTTTTTAAAAATGGGGTGTGTGTGTCACTTCATTGCAAGTGGGTTTGGGGGGGGAGCTGCTTTTTCTTTGTTTTTGTTTTACATTTTAAATGGACTTGTAAAAATGCCCTTTTAAACACCTAGCTTTAGTTTAGGAAATACGCTTTATTTTCTCTAACATGACCCTCTAGTCTGTAAAAAAAAATACTTTTTGGATTGTTGCCTCCAAACAATTTTGAGATAGGGTCTCTATAGCTTTGACTGTCCTGGAGCTTGGTAGACCAGGTTGGCCTGGAACTCACAGAGATCCACTGCCTCCCAGGTTCTAGGATTAAAGGCAACATTCAGTCTCCCCACCCCCTTCAGGTCTGAGGTTTCTCTTTGTAGCCTTGGCTGTCCTGGAAACTCTTCAGAGACCAGCCTGCCTCTGCCTCTCAAGTGCTGGGATTAAAGTGTTAAGACACCACACCCAGCAACATTTAATTTATCAGAAATCCATCGTTTCTGTTCTTACAAGGGACCTAGGGCTATGATTGTCTTTGGGAAATGTTCGCTGAATTTAGATGGCATTTGTGCATAAGACTTTATTTCCCCCTCTTGCATTGTTGAACCTTAAACGCAGAACTTTTGGATACAGTAGGCACCATGCACACACACAGCCTTTTTTTGTTTTGTTTTTAAGATTGTGTTTTTGGGGGATTGGAAGCTCACTTAGACCAAGCTGGCCTTGAACTTAGATCCTCAAGTGCTGGGATTAAAGGCATGGACCAGCACATGTTTAGGCAAGCACTCTGGGTAAACTATAAATTCCCAACCCCGAACCAAGGATATACCAACAGCTTTTGTTACTGTAGCACTTAACTGAAGAAACCTGTGAGATAATGTAAAGAACTGGTGATTTCTCCCAGCTGAAGAAAAATTGCTTGCATGTAGCAGGGCAGGGTCAAAATCTTGGGGGACTCCAGGCTCTTGATCTCATTAAGATGGGAAATACTAAAGTGCCACGCTAAGTTGGAGTTGCTGTTGAAAACCATCATCTAAAACTTAAGAAACTGTTTTAAATGGTGGAAAATACTCAATGGCATAGGTGTACTACCTTGTCAGTTGAGTGTCTTAACTGAGTGAAAAGTCTAGATGTGTTTCCCCTTCGAAATTCTTAGTGGTGGACAACACCATAGCTTAACTGAGGACGTGGCTCCGATATACCAAGGCTGTCAAGTTTAGATCCCAGAATCCACATGGTGGAGGCCAGAGCAGACTCCTCCAAGTTATCCTCTTACCTGTGTCCTATCAAACAATAGTTAAGAGTAAGCCGAATCTTTGGTTTTACTCTGGTGTGCAATTCACAATTTAAAAGGTTTGCCTAGTAATGTCTCTTCCCCCTTTTCTCACCTATCTGTGTTACACTCCCAGGAAGACCCTCTAACACCCCCCCCCCCCCCCCCCCTTTTTAAACTTAACTCGGGAAATGTAGCTTAGTGTGTTACCACAGCACATGTTTACCTATTACTTGGCCTTTGAAGAGTTTGGAATTGACCACACTTCTTTCTCCAATTACACTGACTTTGAGTGACCATTATACATACCCAGAGTTGGAAATGGGTTTTGGGTTCTCTGTGAAAATGCCAGATATAACTTAATCACTAATAGGTAAGACCAAACATTTGAGGCAATACCAGTTTCCATGTGACCCTCTGCTAACCTTCAGTATCTTAGTGTTTTGGAGCTGACTGGCAAGTGAGGATTGTTAAGTTTCTAGGAAACTTGAGCCGAGGTAGTATTTAAAATAAAATTTAAGTATTTAAAAGAATACTTAAATCTGTGAGGTCTTAGATGAAGGCACTCAGGAGGTTGAGACTGGAGGATTGCCATGAGTTCCAGGCCAGCCTGAATACAGTGAGATCTTGCCTCAGAGAAAAGGGCTTCTTTTTTTCTTTCTTTAAGTTTTTATTGTGGCTATTGGAATTGTTACAGTGGGCTGCCTCTTTACCTAGTCTGAATTTCTTCATTTATAAGTGGACATAGTTTATCTGCAGATCTCTTAGCAGTAGGAATCATAATACTTTGATATTGCAATTAAAATTGTAGCTAGTATATGTAAGATATGCTTAGGACTTTAACATAACACTCATTGTATTTGGATTTATAGTGAGGAAATGGTATTAGATGGTTGCTATTACAAAGTGCTGATCTTGCTGGGCGTTGGTGGCACATGCCTTTAATTCCAGTACTCTGGAGGCAGAGGCAGGCAGATCTCTTGTGAGTTCAAGGCCAGCCTAGAGCGAGTTCCAGGACAGCCTCCAAAGCCACAGAGAAACCCTGTCTTGAAAGCAACAAAAAAAAAAAAAAAAACTGAGTATAGGGGATTGAAGGAAAACTGTTTCAGATTGAAAAAGTATGTGTATCTATTTTGATAATAGCTTTGAGATGTAATTCACAAGGGAACTGTTTGTATTTTAAGGCTTGCCTTTAAATCCAGCACTTGGAAGGCATAGGCAGGCAGATTTTCATGAGTTTCGGGCCTCTCTCTCCCACCCCACAAAAGATGCAGAAGTAATGTTGCCATATACAAATAAGCTTAGTTTTGCTTATACTTGGGGGTAGGGGATCATATTGCCTGAGCCTCCCAAGTTTTAGGATTTACTTTATGCACATGCACATGGATTCTCTCAGTGGCAGGGACTGGCCTTCAGCAGCCTTCCTGCCTGTCTCTCCTGAATCTTTTATTGAAGTGAAAATGTTGCTAGGCAGTGTTTCTCAGGCTAGAGAGAGAGCTCAATGGTGAGTGCTTACCTCACTCTATCATGCATGAAGCCATGTGTTAGCACAATCCAGAAAACAACAGAAAGTCTGGATTGCTCAGTAGCAAATACCTGTAATTTCAGTGCTGGGGAGGCAGGGGCAGGATTGCTGTAAATCCAGGGCAGCCAGAGCTATACAGTGAGATCCTGCTCAAAGGGGTGTCAGGTGAGGGGAGAGAAAAAGAAAGCTGAGAAAGATTATGAATTAAGAAATAAACTGATCTTCCCCCCCATCTCAGGATTGAAGGAGTTGGATTTTGTTTTTTTCACCATTTATTTATTGTTTTTTTTGGATTGGTTTGGCAGTGTTTTTTGTTTTGTTTTTGAGACAGGGTGTAACAGCTCTGTCCTGGAACTCACCTTGTAAACCAGGCTGGCCTAGAACTCCAACTGCCTCTGCCTCCCCAGTGCCGGGGATTAAATCATGATTTATTTTATGTGTACCGTGTTTTTCTGGTTTATCTGCCATGTGCCTGCAGTTCCTGGGCAGGCCAGAAGGAGGCATCAGATGCCTTGGAATGAGTTACATACTGCTGTTAGCTTCCTTATGGGTACTGGGAGTGAAACCAGGGTTCTGTGGGAAGGCAGCCAGTACTCTTAACCTCCCAGCTATTCCTTTAGCTCCTTAAATTGATTCTTCAGTTGTATCTTTTTGTTAACAACCTATCAGACCATAGCTGGTGCCATAGCTGGTATTCCAGTGCTTACCTTACCATGTGCAAAGCCCTAAATTCAATTCACAGTACTGCACAATAAAGCCGAATGGATCAGGGTGTGGTGTACTCCTGTTTTGTACCTGGAAAGTTGAACCAGGAGAATATTACATTTCAGGTCAGCCTGAACCAGTAGCCCCTCCCCCAATATATTGTCTCTAATGAGGTCTTGTATGCTTTAAAACTAATTTGGGAGATGATTTTAAAGTCTTAGATTTAACTTTACCAGGGAGGTAAAGAACTTTAGTAATTGGAACAAGTTTGCTTTGTGAGTTGATTGATTTGTTAACTAATTAATGCAATATTTGGGGGTTGGGAAAGAAATAGAAGGAGATGAGAGAATTAAACAAAGGCTTTATAGTCTTTTTGGTTTTTCAAGACGGGGCTTCTATATAACCTTGGCTGATCTGGAACTCACTCTGTAGAGCAGGCTGGGATTAAACTCAGAGAGATTCCCCCCTGCCTTTCTTTTTTTGAGACAGAGTCTATCTCTGGTTCTATCTGTCCTGGAGCTTTCTACACCAGGCCTCCTCCAACTCAGAGATCTTCCTGCCTCTACCTCCTAAGTGCTGGAGATAAAGTTATGTGCAACCACACCCAACCTTAAAATCTTTTTTTATTTTTTTAATTGTGTATTTCTAAATG